TAAAAAAACATAATTTTCACTACTTAAAACTGACTTAGTATTACATGGTCTACAATACTCTGACCTTATCTTTCCAACAGAATGAGTTGAACTTAGCAAATTGTTTTCTCCATGTTTTATGATATGAATTATGAATCCCCACAGCTAAGTCTGCAGGTAACCCTGCTTTGAGCTGAATTTCTGAAGAAAAAAAAACGTTTTTAATCTTTGCAGATCAGTCAACTTCAACTTGTATATCCAGAGCAGAATAGACAGCGTTTGTGGTGAACTGGCATCCTGTTTCAGTCACATAGTTTCTGCTTCTTGTTGATTGTATCTCATTGATAATTAGCTCGTTTGTGTGCTTGGAATTAAAGGAAAGTGTTTCTGGGTTTTTATAGATTATAGCTTTCATTAAACTATTGTAAGTTTTGAAACCAGATATCAAATCTGGACTCTACTCCTGTGTCCAACCCACATAAGGCAATGCTTAGCAATGCAAAGGTTTCAGAAAGCTCTGAGGTTTTTTTTTACAGTGCGGACAGAACGAGGAGGTTTATACCCACAGTTGGTTCCTTCGCTAAAACCTAAGACCTTAAACGGTGTTGACTTCAGCTAAGGGTATGAAAATAGAGGTCTGTGCGTGCATATGTTAGATGGCCTGACTGATTTCATCATTACCAACTCTACAAAAACTAGAGCTGCTTTCAGTCAGTGTCTAATGATGGACTCCCCCTGCTGAACAGGCTTGAAAATTGGAATCGACCTTCAGTCAAAAGTAAATATTTATGTCTTTATGAGATTACGAGTTTATTACATCTGGACCCATGTCCCCATCCTTCCAGAACCCCCATCCCCATGGCTGTAAGGAAGGAAGAATCGGTCTTACCTGGCCAGCGTGTACTAAATAGAAATTAACTCAAAGATTTATATGTGGCTAATCATCCCCTGCCAAGCGTAAGAAATCCTTTATTATGTTGGGATTTTATGTTCAATGCCCACCCAGGTAGGATGCCATATTAATGTTGTGGATTTCTATTTTATGAAATTCCCAGCCAGCTGGGGATTTATATTTCTGATACTTTAAGATGTTTATTGCCCTCCCCAGTAGGTGTGATAAAGATCTTATTTATTCAGATATTATTTCGGCTGTTATATATTGTTTATGAACACACGCCCTACTAACTGTTTGTTAGAACAATAAATGAAAGAGTAATTTGAGCACTAATCATGGTCAAACAGTTATTTCTGCACATACATTGAATAAATTCCCCACAACTTCTGTTCAAAATATGAGTTTATTAACAAAAATCATTCAGCTCCAAGTCAAACATATTTCAGTTTAACACTTTCAACTAAGACTAGTAAAACTCAACTAAACTAAACTACTATGCACAAAGAGGAAGGGAAACATGGTTAAAAACCATATTACAGTTTAAGATGGATTTTGAGTTTGAAAACCAGTTTATCTGGAAGAATTTTGGATATGATCAAATTAGCTTTCAATAATATAGATAAAATTTAAATGTTTTTGGACCAATTCACAATGCAAATTCATGAGGTGAATAAAAAATTATTTGGCCAAATAATGTTTTATTAAATTATTTGCTTAATCAGGAACTGGTAACATTTAGTTAAATGATTATTTACCCTGTTCTATCCTCCACTAAATGACTCTTGGTCATACTTGGTAATGGAATGTAATGAGTATCTGAGGAACACATGAACACTAATGTTATATCAGTGTTTAAATAAAGCTTGTCCAACCTTCAACAACAGCTCAAAACATGTTACTATAGCATACCATGCAGTCCATACTGTTAGCTTTGTCTTTACTCATCAGTAAACACATGAAATGATCAACATCATCAAAAGACATTGTTTGTTCTGTCCCTATTTGTGCCAGACCTGCAAACGTTTTTGTCCATTTGGAAAATTGAGTTTCCATCCAGCAGATTAGCAGACAGGCTAAACAGCAAGGCAGGCTCTCTTTGTCTCTGGCTCACAATAGTGGTCCTTCTCATAGTCTCATTTTCTGGCTCTATAAGTTCTGAAACTCAAGAGAAATGTGTTGCAAAAGGTCTATTTTGCAGCAGTTTGGTTCTGAAAGGTCACAATGATGACTTATCCTTGATAATTCTTGAGATCTGGGTCTTTTGGGCCCGGATCTTCGTTTTTGCAGGAGAACCTTCCAAAGTGGACCCCAGCTTAATGGGTAAGAAAAAAGAAAAAAAGGGAATGTTCTTTGTGTGTTCTGTGGTTTTCTCTGTCCTCAGACAGAGGGGCTGGCAAGTCACACCTCTGTGGGAGATTCTGTGGAGGAGTTGGCTGAAAAGGGGTGGGTGGGGAGATCTTACAGCTATACAAATAAAGCAGCCCTGCTAGCTTTCCTAAAATGTTTGTCTTGTGTTTAAACAGATCCTGCAAGTGGAAAGAATTTGCCAGAGGTCAATAATTGGATAAACTACCCCCTTAAACAGGCCCTAATCCACCTACTAGATCAGGATTACTGCATATCCAGGATGACCTTAACAAACTTAGTGTGTCCACCGTGGCCTGTACAGTGAGTCAGATAGGATTTGACAGAGTTGTGCATTCCTGGAATGCCTAGCGGATACCAGGTATGCGGTGGTAGGATCCCTAATCAATTTGCAGTTGCTAGATGCCCAGCAAGAATTCCTGCAGAGCAGTTTCCCATTGCGGCTGGAGCACCATGCATGTATGAACAGTAGCTGGGATCCTCCCTGACTTGGGGATCTGCCTTTGGCTCTGAGCCATTTTCAAAGGAAGATCAATGCAGTGCTCAGCAGCTATTTAGAGAGAGGTTTCCAGACATATCTCTTCTTTTTGGAGAAGTTGGTAACAATGACTAAAGGGCTGGTTATACTCTTGCAGCAGTGTGTCGCAGTCAGCTTGACGCAGACATTTTTGATTTATGCTCAGTATTGAAGCGTGGCCTGCGCTTTATGCTGTGGGTCTAGATACGGCCGAGGCGATGAGGAAGTGGGGGCGAGTTTGTCTGACTATGGAGGGACATGAGGGCGAAAAAGAGTGGGTATCCAGATGGAAAAAGGGTCTTAGCGTTCTTGCGCACCTCGTTCTTCTAGCTGGTCCAACTTAATAAGTTATTTTCCACAGTTGCGGTCATAAAAACAAAACAAGCCGGCCTCCTGTCTGCAGTCACCTTTAATTTGCGATAGGTGCAGCAGCGTGTCTGCAGACGGGGTTGGGACGGCTTTTTGTTCACTGCGACACCTACGCAGACGACATAGTTTCGAAGTTTAAATCAGCCTCAAAGCGTGTTTCAGGAGGCACTGTTCTACCTCACAGGCGTTACTGAAAGACATGTGAGATAAATGTAATTGTTGAATGGTGACTAATGAAGGTGAAGCTTGGTAAAAATGGCATCCAAACATCCAAAATACAAGTGTAACTATTCAAAAACGGCATTTACTTGTAGTAACTGCTCTGAATTTTCTGAAGAACTGATACTTGTTTAAAAGCACAAGGTTAAAAAAAATTTTCCGGATTCCTTTTTAACTTGTATTATGGAAGTATTGTGTGGAGTAAAACAAAAATTGACCACTGAGAGTTGATATCCAAGGAAGAAAAGTTTTTATTTTGCTCTGCAGAGGAGAACAACATGACCAACTGAATGCAGCTCTCAGTGTTGATCTGAGGCTGCAACATCCCCACCTCTGCATAAAAAGGGGGACTTCAAACACATTAACATTTCCCGAGAGAAACACTTTAGCTCTTCAAAGGACAGAGATGACAATTGTTTCCCATTCACACCAGGACGTGAGAATCTTGACATGTTTATTTTATGTTTCCCCCTTATCTAGCCTAGGGGGGAAACTTCCTTTCCTTTCATCTCAGCAAGGCTTCTAAGTATTCACTTTTATTGAGGAAAAGAGAAAAAACAGACTTTAACATCACTTACAAACAGGCCAAGGAAAAATAACCATTCCACAATTGTAAATAGTGCTTTACGCTTAAACATTAGATGCTGAATCACGAAACTCAATTTTTTTTAGAATTTAGAAAAAGCAACAAAAACGTTAATATTGGACTGTATAAAAAAAAAAAAAACATTAGTTATTACGCCAACAGACATATTATGGCAGCAACAAATTGTCCAGTGCAGGCAGTGCCTCAGAGAATGCAGCCAACTCATGGATGCTGCCATCTAAGTCCACAGCACGACACTACGGGCAGAGGCTGTTGTTCCACTCCACAAGCAAACCGCAGCAGGTTGCAAACATGGTCTCATCTACTGGACCTGAAGATTGAAAGACGGATAAAGAAGCTGAATTTGCTGACAAGTTGTAAGCAGAGCATTGACAGATAGGTAATATGCAGGGGATTGCCAGCACACAGAATACTTCTGCAGATAATGTACCACAAAGGTAATAGAAAGGACAGAGTAAGTTTTAGCAAAAACTAAAAGGTTTCTTCCATCACCTCAAAATCAATACAAGTTGTTAAATAAGATGATTTAAAATAAGTGCAGACAAGTCCTCTGCAGTTGTGCAACTTTCTTATAACTCAAGATGTAAAAGAATAGTCTGTGTTGGCAGGCAGATCCTAATTCATGTTGATTGAAAATGGTGAAGTTTTGATTTGTTTATTTCTTATAAAGTGGCCAAAATAATTGGTAGCATCAGAAATATAAAGATAGATATAAAAACAGAGAAATAGATTCTGTAACTTAGAAAATGAAGATGCTAATAAAAGTTTCTGTGTCTTTAAATGATTAATTTGTGTGGAATAAACCATCTCAAAGCAGAATCAGTTTCTTTCTATGATGTCTCTCTGTGTTCATGCAGCAGCAGCTTCATTTTTTATTGAGTCCAGTTTCATCCTCTGATGAAGGAAGCAAACCGGTTCATCTGATTAGGTTTCATTGTTCTTAAAAGGCTTCAGTATAGAAGACCTCTAGTGGTCAGAGGAGGAACTCCATCCTTCAGAGAAGTTCCTGGTTTATCAGTGAAAGAGGAAGAGAAGCAGAGTTAGAAACCATGAGCAGCTCAGGATGAAGGTCTGTTATACTTTGATCTGCATCCTCTTCCTCAGTGAGTACATTATTTTATTTCTATCAGTTTATTTTCTCTCAGTCCTTCATCGTTTTTAATTTTCACAGTTTATCAGGGTTTTTGTTTTGTTCAACAGTTTTAATCTGAACTGTGACACTTCCTCCTGATGTCTACTACATTCTGGTTATCTATCTAAGATACGCTGACATTTTACATCTCAGGATTTACACTCTTGTCATTTTAACACAAAAACCTAAGAAAATTAATTTTATTAAAATAAAACAACTCATTTGTAGTTATTACCCATATACGTCTTAGCCTGTTTTTTTTTTTTTAGAGAAATGTCCGTTTCCTTCAGTTCAAATCTTTAAAACAAAAAGCTACAAAACATAATTTAATTGGAGGTGATCAGTTGCCTGAACTGGTTTGAGACTCTGTGTTCAATGTAAATTTATTCTAATGCATCCAGGTACATTTATAACTATATTTCAGCTATATTATATTAAACATTGACAGTAACTACTGACTGTTTATCTCCTCAGCAGCTCTGCAGGATGGAGAAACTGTGGAAACCTACAGTGGAAAGGAAGGAGGAAGCATCACAGTTAGATGTGAATTTAAGAACTCTGGAAGCAGGAGGTTCCTCTGTAAAGAAACCTGTGAAGGAGGAAATATTCTGATTGAAACAAATGAGGACAGATTTCAGAGCAGCAGATACAGCATTAGATATGAAAAAAGACAAAAATCTATATATCTGCATGTGAGCATCACAAAGCTCAAAAAGTCAGATTCAGGACGGTACTGGTGTGGCTTATATGAACAGTGATTTAAATCCTGGAAGAAGCCTCAGTTTGTTGATTTTATTCTCTCTGTGACTGAAGGTGAGTTTTTCTGTTTTTAAATTTTTCACTCAGATTTTCAACAGATCTACTTTAAAGACCAACATGTTCAAACTGTGACTCATGAAGACAAACATGGATCATAAAATCAAGAAGAATGTAAATTTTGACCTCAGTTGTTCTGATTCTGTTTTAATCTCCACATCCTCAGATTCTTCAGAACCAAAATGGACTCTGGGACCTTTTATTAGATCAACTTTTCTCCCAGCAGCCTCCACAACAACAACAACAACACAGAGTCTGAGTTCCTCACCTTCTCCATCCTCCTCTGAAACCAGCAGAGTCTCTGAGAAACCAGCTGCAGCTTCAGGTACATTATCTGTTCACGTTTAGATGTTCAGGAGATGATTTGGGTCTGTTAAAGTCCAGCTTTGTTCATCGGTGAGGCTCAGACCTGTTCAAGTTAACAGGGTCAGAGAGTCTAATGTTGAATTAATTTGTATCAGAGCGAATAAAAGCCAATAAAGCATGGAGCATCTGATCAGAGCAGAATGTTCTGAAGGTCTTTGACAGCAGAAGCTGTGTCCTCTGAGTTCAATAGGAGAGAAACCTTCTGTTTTTATCAGCAGCTGATGAAGGTGGAACATTAATGCACATGGCCTGTTTATGAGGAACAGAGCAGCTGATGGGATAAACTAAATCAAGTCTTCTATAAACATCCCTGCAGATCCGTGGCTCTATGTGGGTCTGATTCTTTCCATCCTGATCATCATGTTAGCAGCAGCTCTGCTCATCTTATTCAAGAGGAAGAGCTTCAGACAACAGAAAGGTGAGTTAGAACAAACTCAACTTTGTCACCATTATTTACAGAAAATGAACTGAAAACAACCTTCAATCAATTGACTTTCCCAAAATTCCAGATTTATTAGACATTCCTTAGAAATGAATATAAAAAATGGGCTGAAGAGAAATGAAATGGAAAAATGTTGAATAAAAGCAGGATCTTCATTATCCTGATAACATAAACTTTAAGGGCAGAAATGAGATATTCTTCAAACTCCTATTCTAATTTTTTTCCCTACACTATTGTTGTCTACATGTTATTCTGCTCCAGGTTTGCACAATATAACCTGAAAGTTGATCAGTTAACTCCAGCTGCCTTTTTTGTTTTTATTAGTTCCTGAAAGGGAAGCACACTCGGCTAGTTTCTCAATGGTGAGTCTGAGTCATTATAAAAAATATATCAGATTAGCATCCTTTTTTCAGTTTATTGTAAATGCATGCTTGTGTGACAAAAACTCCTCCTTCTGCAGCCTGACAGCGTGTACCAGAATATTAGAGACCAGCAGAGAGAAAACGAAACACCTACTGCACCATCAGTGTCAGTCTATGCTTATCCCAAACCCTACAACCAAAATGGAGCTGAAAGCGCAGATCTATACAGCCTCTTCAGCAGTCCTCAGAATAAAGTAAGTGAGAATAATATTAATGTTAAATATTTACACTCTGATGGGAGAGTTTTGATTTATTCAGTTTTGTCTATTCAAACTTTTACTATCACCAATAAGGAGCTTATAAGCAGTGAAGTGCTTTATTTTCTGTGCTGTTTGTAAGCAACACATGATTAATGCATTCTAACCCTGCTTAGGACATTCAGCTTATAAATGCAAAATATACTGTAAATGATTAAATTTTTCAGCTATATTTTATTAATTATATCACAAACTTAAATTTACTGCTAGAGCAAATTGATATGCTGAAAAGCGTAATGACCTTCAGTAAATAAATCAATAATATTTATTTCAAATTGCACTAAAAGAACAATTATAAATTACAAATGTAAAAACTAATATATTTCTGTTTCTTCCAGGTTGGGGCTGATGGAGTTCATTTCTCTGAAGTGAATATGTGTCATACTGCCTCGCTCAACAGCGCCCCCTGTGGTCGTGCAGTTCACACCCACTCAGACTGTCAGAGGTCTAGAAACTCTGCCATTTACAACAATGATTTATTTTCTCTTTATTCCAATGTTATTGTACAGAAATAGCCTTACTGAAGATCCTCAGCTTGTGCTCTTCAGATAAAATCAAAATCATAAAAAACTTTATTGCCATGTTGTAGTTTTACACATAGAGGCGAATTTTCTTTGGTGTTGCTAAAGATAGACACACATACAGTAAAACATGGACTTTTTAAAATAAATATGTCAGGTTGGGTGGAGGTTTTGAGGACCCAAATGCAAAGAGGAGTAGGCAAGTATGCGTTTGGATGGTTTAATGATCGTCCAAGGGAAACAAAGGCAAAAATCTAAAATACAAAAATACTGAAAACCAAACAAAACCAATAAACATCAGGAAAAATACTCAAAGGAAGCAAGAGACTAGGAAGCAAATAAACATCTACAACACACAAGAAACCAACTCTGAATGAAGGCTCCGGTGCTCTTTTAGGCCCAGCACTATGATTATAAAGATTAATTTCACCTGTGTAAGCTACCCAAGTTCTCCACAAATATCCTCTATAGTAGAGATGCACAACTCGCACTAACACACACACACACACAGGAACCCTGACAAAATGTGAAGATATGTTACGTGAAATAAACAAGTGAAAGGTGTAGAGCAGGGGTCACCAATTAAAAATCAGCGTGCCCAAATAAAGAAAATCATCAACCAGTAAAGGTCCGGAGACATTTTTAATTATAATCTGTTACTTTAAACAGATTTAAAACTAATCCATGTTATACTTTGAATAAAAAAAAAGATGAAATAAGTAGAGAACAACAATCTTTTATTTTGGTATATAGACAATTTCCTGATTCACCTCTTTTATAAAACACCTGAGCTGAGCGTTTGTGATTTTTCTTTCTTTTTTTTGTCTTAATGAGAGTAAAGGTCAAAGTAAATTTAGAGATAATTTAAAATCCAATGATTAGAAGTCTTTAGGAGAGCAGGATCCAACAAAAAATACACTTGAATATATGGATTAAAAAAAATATATGGGTTTGAGGGACGCCTCTATTCCAAAATAACAAAATAATAGAACTTAAGGATAAAATAACTAAGGAGAGCCAGGGAGGGAAAAGAATAAAAAAGGATGGGTTCAGGAAAGAGTAAAGAGAAGATTGTAAAGGGGCTGAAAAGTTTGTGTCAGATTGATCCGAGTAATTTAAAATACTTGTAGAAGTGGAAGGAAAAGTAGGAAATAGATGGTGTGTGGAAGTAGATCAATGGAGAAATGTTGTGTGCTGGCTAGAAACAAGCACTAGTGCATAAATAGATTAAAAAATATATATATATATATATATAAATAAATAAATGAGCTCCAAATGGCGAGGTGTTGGTATAATACATGCACACAGTAGATACGATGTTGTTATGAAAAATTAAATAAATCGATCTAATGTTGTGTTTGTCTGTCTTTAAAGTTATGTTTGTGGGTCTTTTAAGTTGTTTCATAGCTAAAAAAAAGCTATGAAGTGTAGTTTGGACCATAATTGGGCTTAAGTGAGGGCCGGTGGTCACAGGGGAAAAACAAGAGGCCACGTACAAAAGCACAATAGGTGGTACAATTGTGATAAGGAGGGCCACTTTGCTCGAGAATGTCCAGACCCACGCAGAGTAACCCTCCCTGTCGCCAATATTATGATCAGCACTGAAGCCAGGAGTCATGTGCACCAGCAAAAAGTGCAGTTAATTGTGGACCCAGTGGAGGTCCTGGACATACAGAAAATTTTCTTTTCTTTATTAAACACCTCAGAAAAACCATACTGGCATTTAAACATACAAGGGGTAAAAGTGAAATTTTTATGTGACACCAGAGCTGATAAATCTGTCCTGAGGGATACATTACCTCAAATTAAACCGGGACCAAAATGGATCACAGTAGTCTCTGCTGATGGGAGAATGGTGGTTCAGCGCATTTCTGAAAAACAATTGGTCACTGATGAAGAGGGATTCACGGTGGAAGCTGATTTTGTGTTAAGCCCAGACTGTCCAGTTAATCTATTAGGCAGAAATCTGTTAAGGAAATTGCAATTAGCGCTGGTGCCTACAGACAAAGGGAGGGGAATGAAAACATGTACAGATTTTATGCTACACCAGAATTAGAAACAGCTGACATACATGTTGTACATTCAGGCTCATTCCCAAAAACACTTTACGCCCTGGATCTAACCACCCAGGGGAAAAGATGAACAAC